GAGCCCTTCCCTCCCCCGCAGCGCCCGCCCAGCGCCTGGCCCTGCGCTCCGGGCAGCTCCGGGCATCATTGTGGAGACGTCCGCGGAGCCTCAGTGAAACTTTCTCCTTAAAACAAAGCTGACAGCCCACCCGCCCCATCCCTGATGCCTTCTGACACCACCTCTTCACCGGAGATCCTTACTCTTAGGAGAGCATTGCTTTTCTTTCTTAAAAAAACATTTTTAAAAGTTGATTTCAGAAAGGAAGGGGTCGGGTGAGGCGGGGGGAGGAGAGAGAAGCATCGATGAGAGAGAATAGTGGATCAGCTGCCTCCTGCACACCCCACACTGGGGGTCGAGCCTGCAACCCTGGGTGCCTGTGCCCTGACCGGGAATCCAACTGTGACCTCTTGGCTCATAGGTCAATGCTCAACCCCTGAGCCAGGAGGCTGGGAGGCTGGCCATACTTTTCTTAAAAATGGGCATTCCCTTTCCAAATGCAACGTAGGCTCGTGCATCTCCGCTGAGGAACCAGGGTGGACCACAGCTCATCCCGACCTGGATCTTCTAGCCCAGTGGTCGGCAAACTCATTAGTCAGCAGAGCCAAAAATATCAACACTACCATTAAAATTTCCTTTGAGAGCCAAATTTTTTAAACTTAAACTATATAGGTAGGTACATTGTTATTAACTTAATTAGGGTCCTCCTAAGGCTTAGGAAGAGCCGCACTCAAGGGGCCAAGGAGCCGCATGTGACTCACGAGCCGCAGTTTGCCGACCACGGTTCTAGCCAGTTCCTCTGGTGCCATGTGGACATTTCAGCTTGCCTATCTGATTGTATCCTGCAAGTTCTCCTGACTCATTTTTGACCCCCAACAGTTATCAATATTATAAAATCCCAGTGGCCCTAACACCATAATGACCAAAGACTGGTCACCAGGAGGCTACGTGCACGGCGAGGTGCATGCAGGGAGCAGGGCTGCGTGCACAGCAAGGCGTGCGTTCCCAGGTCTCAACGCAATTTCCCCTGGGTTTGGTTCTTGCATGATTTCTTGATGAAATGAGTTGTGGTCCACCCTGGTTCCTCAGTGGAGATGCACGAACCTACACACTCTGGGTCCCGTGGCGCTGGAGGAGTCTGGGGTCCCAGGTCTCAACGCAATTTCCCCTGGGTTTGGGTCTTGCATGATTTCATGCACGTGGAAAGGGAATGCCCATTTTTAAGAAAAGTATGGCCAGCCTCAGGGGTTTAGCATTGACCTATGAGCCAAGAGGTCACAGTTGGATTCCCCGTCAGGGCACAGGCACCGAGGGTTGCAGGCTCGATCCCCAGTGTGGGGTGTGCAGGAGGCAGCTGATCCACGATTCTCTCTCATTGATGCTTCTCTCACTGGGTCACTAGTCCTATATAAAAGGCTAATATTCCTATTTAAAAGGCTAATATGCAAATACACCAAACGGAGGAAAGACTGGTTGTTATGATGCGCACTGACCACCAGGGGGCAGACCAAGGAAGGGGCTGCCCCCTGGTGGTCAGTGAGCTCCCACAGGGGGAGCACAGCTCAGCCAGATGCCGGGCTCACAGCTGGTAAGCACTGGGGCGGTGCGGGGAGCCTCTCCCGTCTCCCAGGCAGCACTAAGGACGTCCCACGGAGGCTCCCGGACACAACAGGGCGCAGGCCTGGCTGAGGGACCCCCGGGGTGCACAATGTGGTGGTGCTGTGTCCAGCTTTGCCAAGAACATGCCTTTCAGCTGGAAATAGGGACAAAGAACCCCTCCACTGGGTTGCCTGAGGAGTCAGAATTTCTCATTTATTTAGGCTCTTGCAGTAAAACCCAGTTGCTAGTTTATGGGAACTTGTTTTCCTGCCAGGTTGGCTGGCCTGTATTCTTGCAGCCCAGGTCCTATGCTAGTATATCATCAGGGCTCGTCTCTCTTTGTTACAGCAGTACTACCTCCTAGGGGGCGTTTTGGGAATCTGTGAGAGTGTTCTGGTTGTCATGCTGGTTGAGGGCCAGGGATGGTGGACATTCCTGCAAAACAAAGAATCTCCCTTATCTGGCCAGACTTTCATAAAAGCTGTTACCTGACACTACGTGACATGTAAATACAAGGTATTCTGCACAGTTTTGCTATGGATTGGAAAGCCCAGGGAACATACTTCTTTTTCTTTGCATGTCCTCCCAGGGCTGAGGAGGTGCCCGCAGCGCGCAGTCTTCCGGGGACGAGGGAGGAGCTGCCCTGCCCCACGTCTCTCCCGTGGCCCTCCAGTCTCCCATGAACCGACTGGGAGAAAGGATTTTCAGCCTAAAATAAAGGCCTTGGTGAGCCCGGGAGAGGCACCCGGGAGTCGGGGCCAGGACGGATGGGGTCGGAGAGTCCACGCAGATGAAAAGGGCGCCAGCGTCTTGCGCACCTGGAACCCCCAAGCTGCCCTCACTCTGCGGGGACCAGCTGCGAGCGGAATCAGGCCACTTCAAGTTCGCGCACATATTTCTGAAGAAGAAGATGGAACGAATCCATACAATCCATTTTAAGAAACAAAGTAAACTGATTTACAAAACTGGCTACAAAAAAGAAAATAAACCAAAATAGCTACAAAAATATGCTAAATGAAGACTAGTCTATGATCATTTACTATAAAAACAACAAAACACTCTTTTCTAAATCCTCCTTAAAATCAGAAAATAGATCATTTTAAAGGGGAAAATCGACGAACAAGTTGGATACAATTATGGTAGAGAAACCAAATAACCGATTTTTATGCGAATACATAAGGTCTCACTGAATTTGAGACTAAGCCAGGATCAACCAGGTGACTCACATTCTCGAAGTTTTAAAGCCAAATAACGTTTAAAGACGACGAAAAAGGTTCCTTCTAATGACAATACAACTGGCATGAACTGAGTCCCACTCTTTCAAGAAAGGTCGTTGGAGAACGCGTTCCCTTTGAAGCCCAGTCGGTCCAGAAGCAGGTGCAGCCGTCTCGGCGTCTTTGCTCCCATCCGGTTGGCGGGAGGCAGTTAGGGGTGACTAGGCCAGCAGGGGAGGGCAGTTAGGGGCAACCAGGCTGGCAGGGGAGGGAAGTTACGGGCAATGAGGCAGGCAGGCAGAGTGATTGGGGTGATCAGGTGGGCAGGCAGGCAAGCAGTTAGGAGCCAGCAGTCCCCGGTTGCAAGAGG